CAATATTATCCATCCTCTTACAAAACTAATTAACCAGGCATTTAGGGAAAATATTTTTCCAGATGTTCTAAAAATTGCTCAAGTTATACCTATATATAAAAGTGGTGAACTGGACTTACCCCAGAATTACCGACCTATATCTCTCCTGCCAATCATATCAAAAATACTAGAAAAATGTACTGCCATCAGAATAACAAAATTTTTCGAAGAAAATAAGTATTTTACAGAATGTCAATTTGGATTTAGGAAAAATAAGAATACAGTATTGGGAATATTGGATCTAGTATCATATATTTATGAAGCTTTTAATAATCTAGAATTTACAAGTGCCTTGTTCTGTGATCTGAGTAAGGCGTTTGATTGTGTGTCACATGAAATTCTTTTGCGCAAACTAAAAAGTTACCACTTCTCAGCAGATAGTTTTACCTTTCTCAAGTCTTACCTAACAAATAGAAAACAAACTGTGAAAGTAGATAGTGTTTCATCGGCACTTAAGGATGTCACAATCGGGGTGCCCCAAGGCTCAGTCTTGGGGCCCGTCTTGTTTCTTATATATATAAATGACTTGCCATCTATAGAGCCAGGAGCAAAATTCACACTATTTGCGGATGATACGACGGTGGCCATTTCAGCAAATACACTAGAAGAGGCTCTAAGGAGTACAGTAGATATTCAAAATAACATCCAGAGTTGGTTTTGTGCCAACAAACTTCTACTCAACACTGGAAAAACAAATAAGATTGTCTTTTCAACTAGGGACACGGGTGTGACCAACGGTGACGTGAGTAGTGTGAAATTTCTGGGGGTACAGATTGACCCACTGCTGCAATGGGGTGTGCATATTGATGGGGTGGCAAGCAAATTAAGGAGTGGCTTATTTGCTCTTCGCTCTCTAGCTGGTAATGTCTCTATTTCTTCATTGAGGACAGCTTACTTTGGAATGTTCCATTCTGTGATGTGCAGTGCGATATTGGTATGGGGGCACGTACCACAGTCAAAGAGAATATTTGCGTTGCAAAGAAAGGCTATGAGAATTATTGCAGGACTGGGGTATATGGATGACTGCCGTGAGGTATTTGGTGAGCTTGATGTGTTGACTCTGCCATGTGTATACATACTCGAATGCCTGATGTACGTTCACAAAAATAAAAATTTATATAGGACTCACGCTGAAAATCACGAAATTCAGACAAGAGGTAGGAATAGGTTAATACCAGTTCATCAACGTCTAACAAGGTGTCAAGATGGCCCTGGGTACTTGGCTGTAAAATTTTACAATATAATTCCTATCAATATCATAAATTTAGAATTTGAAAATTTCAAGAAGGAAATAAGAGGTTTACTCAATCAACGCAGGTTTTATTCAATAGATGAATTTTTAAACTACAACTTCTGATGAGAAACGAGTTTTAACATAACTTTAAGGTACTCAGTACAGTGTCGTAAAATTATTTTGTATTAGTATATGTATATTTTATATTTTTTGTAACAGTAATTGAATTATGTATTATGGCTTGACGTGTGTAAATACAATTGTATGTTAACATAAATAAATGAAATGAAATGAAATGAAATTCTTTTCTATGTAGTTCAATCTTTTTATAGTATTCACGTAACTTTCTGGCAGTTGTGCATTTTTCTTCCAAAATAATTCAACCTCCCATCTGTTTTCATCAATTTTTCGTATGTTCTTAATGATTTTCAATTCTTATTCATATTTTGCTTCGTTATTATGGTCATTTCCTGCTGGGCTAATTTCATTGTGTTCTAACAAAACATGTTTTTCAACCAAATTAAATTCTTGCATTCACAAATGTGGAAACTATATTCGTCAATTTGATTTTTCAGCGGTAAACTTCCATGCAATATCCACCCAAGCCACATTCTGGATATTGCAGGACCATTATTTCCAAGTCTGATATTCAATTTCTCGTTCAACAATGAGGTACCAATTGTCCTGTCCTATCAAGATAGTTGGTTTAGCATTCTGCAGGCTTCAAATTTCAATATTTTTCAAAAAAATCATGATTTTGTCAAATCTTTTATTATTCTGACGTTCTTTATGAAGAAGGTTTTCTCCACATGCTTTCCTCTGATTCTCAATGAAACTCTTTTTGATTCCTCTTCAGTTTTAGTAGTATCATTTGTCCACTTCATCACTAATGGATCTCTGATCCCTTTTCACTTTATGGCGTTTGCTACTGATTCTTCTATGACAGTGATTGTGGAACCTTCATCACACAATGCGTAGGTCTCTATTTCTCCTTCAGGGTCTTCTAATATCACTGGAACTGATCAATCTGTTCACCCTGAATATTTGTCTTTGTCTCGATGGAAACCATTTCTTTTTTTTTCTCATAAAGAATCTATTATTTCTCTTCGCGGGTTTTTTGAGCGTTAATTTTATGGGTCTGCAAGGACATTCATTCTAGCCGGAGTTCTCGAGTCAACAACATTCGCGTGTCTCAGCACCGAAAATTATTATATAGTGAGTGGCAGCAGGTTGCAACCTATTTCATCATCCCAGGCAGATCGGGGATGAGTCCATGCAACCCATCGTCGATTCACTAAGATTTCATACTTAAAATCGTGAAAGATTCAGGAACTACTTTAAAATTGCTATATTTCTATTTTCTAAATTCTGACTAGGTATGACATACAACTTCATTTGTTTTTTCTTCAGTAGCGGCAGTGGGTTCTGAACTGTGAAGTAGCTCATGATGAAATCTTGTGCATCCATTTTCGTTACAGGGTATCTTCTTCTTACATTTATTAGTATGATGTCGTGGAGTAAGACAACTAAAACAGAATTTTTTCTCTACAAGTTTAAAACGGTTGTCATTATCCAATTTTTTGAATTCTTCACATGTCGCAATTTGATGTTGATTTTCCTGCGAAAAATACAAACGAATTTCTGAGTATCAGTGGTTCTCAATGTAAATAAATGTTTTTGCCTCTTCTCTCGTTTTTCAATTGATTGATGAACATTTTCAAATTCTTAGGTGTAATCTCCAACGAAATAAATCTTCAATAGAAATAGTTTTTTGTTCATATTTTTAGCATATTTTCCTCATAGTAATTTCGAATTGATTAGTAGTTTTTCAACTAAATCTCTTATAATTTGTGGATTTATTAGATATTCTGAGCAATCGAGGCTTTTCAAAACTATTGTAGCCTTTTGAATGCAATTAGACAATTCAATAAGGTTATCCACATTTTCTTCATTAATTAGCTTCAATTGTACCTTATTTGATTGAATTTTTTGTCAAAGATATCTTCAGTTTTACCAAACCTTTTCTGCAACAATTTCAGGATACGATCAATTTCATCTGGAAAATTCGACAAAGCTTCTACGGTTTCTCTTGCCTTTCAAACATCTTTGAAGTCTGCTGATATTCTCACGGTTGCTGAATTGGCACAAATCTGTTGTTTGATTGAATTGTCTTATAAAATTTGGCAATTCTAGAAGATTTCCACCGAAAAATGTGAAAAGTGTGTTTTCTTTTGTTCGAAGGGATGGGACACGACGCCGAAGGCAAAGCTTCTACGGTTCTCTTGCCTTTCAAACATCTTTGAAGTCTGCTGATATTCTCACGGTTGCTGAATTGGCACAAATCTGTTGTTTGATTGAATTGTCTTATAAAATTTGGCAATTCTAGAAGATTTCCACCGAAAAATGTGAAAAGTGTTTTTTCTTTTGTTCGAAGGGATGGAACACTCCGCCTTCGGCGTCGTGTCCCAAACTTCCCTTCTCACAAAATAAAATGTCACTTTTAGCACTTATATCATAAATAACTATTTTAAGTTTTCTCTTTATTATTTACTTTTTATTTATCGCTGGCTAGGTTTTTCAGTATGACGCCCATTTCGCCAAATAACACAAGTCAAAGTTGATCAATCGATGTTACAGGCTTAAAAATCGATTTTTTTAATCTGCATTTTTATTCTCAGCCAACCCATTCATTTCATAGAAAAGCACAAAAAACTGAATAGCGCGTCATATTGGATTTAGAATGATGTCACATTATTTCTAATTATTCTCGGCAAGCCCTTTCATTTGATTACCCATATTGCAGAAGTGCATGAATAATAACTATCCCGCCATATTGGATTTAGAATGATTATTTTTCGAGTGGCTCTCAATGAGCCCTTTCATTTGATACCCATATTGTAGAAGTACTATTCCGCCATCTTGGATGGTCATATGATTTTGTATAAAATTTCGCTTTCAGCACTCTGCGAGTTAAAAATAGGTAATGTCATAAAGAACATGACTTTATGTAGGTACCTAATGTGTTCAGTTGAATATTCTCTGAAAATGAAACAGAATATACATAAAACAACCTCTCTACAATCTCTCTCAATTATTCCTGTACCCCACGAATTGAATTTCAAGCAAACTAACTCAATCAAGATATGTACAGTCCACTCACTCACTCACACTAAAGAGAAGGGCACAGTCCCCAACACCACATATATTGACTATGAGACTGAATAGTTTCGTGAAAGAGTTTTTACTCTTTTTTACATGGAGTTGAACTTTTGTGAAACAGAAACAGCAAATGTCGAAGACTACATGGTTAATGGATACCTTTGGTTTCCATCATCCTTCAGCCTCAGGACTCTACAGCTTATGGTTGTTTACTTCCTTTTCGATCAACAACCTAAAGTTGACACTGCTGTTTCTAACGTTAGAAGTTAGAAATAGCCGCTGCCATATCTAGTTAGGTGAGACCTCAGACTGCAGCTATGGTACCTGAGGTAAATGATCAGTTTTTCACATTGTTAATCATTTTAAAGGGCTGTAAATTTTTTACATTGACTGTGATATTGAGAAGCAATAATCAGCCACACAACAAGTTCAAAACCCTCATTATTGACTCTTCAAAATCATACTGATCATAGGTTTACACTTTCACAGCATATGCAAATATTGTAGAATTTTTCAATATCCTTAGTGACTCTTGGATCACTTTCATTTTGTCAGCGTATTTACTCACCATGTTCAATGATGTGCTCTTCCTCTTTCAAAGTCTCCATTTCGAATATTGTAGAAACATCTCCATTTTGTTCTTCATCCTTATTCATCTCAAAAACTTCACTATGTACATTTTCTGTACTTCTATTCATAATTTGAGGAATATGAAACTCTTCAATTTTTGTATCATAATCCTCTGGTACAGAATCTCCTGATATAACACCAGCCGCTTTAAGGATATCCCCCAAAACAGTTGATTTACCATTTTCTCGATTCAAATCACAAGATTCATTTTCTAATACTTGCACTTTGGCTTCCTCGCCGTTCTGAATTTTGCTAGATGTCATCAGTGAACTAGAAGTGCTCTTTGTCGGTTGTTGACTAGTATTCATAATAAATAAAGGCGATGCAGTTTCTGTAACACTTTTTCCTACAATCTTTCCACCCAAAGGTAACACTTTAATACTACCTTTAGAGTTCAAAACTTGCAATTGGGAAAGTGGTATAACCTTTTTCGAATTGGGATTAGTCTTAACTGTCACCATTTTATGCTTGACATTATTCAAACCAGAGTTGACATTATTCAGGTGCATAGGAGTTGGAGATGAAATACTTGGGACAATTTTGAATTTTTCTAAATTCTTGATAGACACATTCTTCACAAAAGGTATTTGAAGTGTTCTTTGTAGAATACTGCTAGTTGGAATACTTTGTGCATTTGAAACAACTATCAACTTTTGGGAATTCACAGTTTTGGTAATTGGTTTCTTTCCTGGACAAACTCGTATTGCTTTTGGAACCTCGTTACTTGAACCAGCAGGTTGAGGTGAACTTTGTCTCATGATAGGATTTTCGGCAGCATTCGGTTTGATACTTGTAACAATTTTAGGTCTTTGACTAGGAGCATGATTCTCATTGCAAAATACTGGAGGACCTGAAACAGTGTCAGGTATTTTCATATTTATGCGATCAATGTCTTCCTGATCCACGGATTCTTCTTTGATTGGTTGCAAGCTGACATTTTGGAGAATGTTCACTTTTTGATTGATAAATTGGTTTTGTGAAGTAGGAATAACCATAGACTGTTGTGGAATATGCTGCATGGCTCTGTGTTGGTGAACCATTTCAATATGGTCTGATTGGTCTGTTTTTTTGTGGAGTTCTTTCTGTTTCTGTTTAGTTCTCTGCCTGAAAGAGAAGAAATGAATCAAAATTCTTTTTTCAACTGAGAAGGGTGGCTTGCTTTATAAACGGTTTCGTTTTTGAAGATATGAAAATGGAATTCGGGGAACATGTATGATATAAAACTACATTTTACGACAGATGGTCTATCCGAAAAATACACTTTCTCTCGATTTTCTGTATATTTATCATTTTACTAAAAATAAAATTCCGAGTGCAACTATCTATGTGCGATTTTTCATATAATGACACAAACGATCAGTTTTAATTCGATGCGTGGTAAATATTACATTATTTCCGAAGTAATAATCCAAAACACATATTGCATCTATTTCACGGAGTTACGAAACAATCTTGTACCATAGAAATTAAACAAAATCGAATGATTTTTCAAAAAAATCTAAAAAACTGCTGAAGTTTAAGGAACATACAAAACAGAGTGAAATTCGAAAATAGCAAAATGTTGTTTTACAATGAAGGCGGATTTAGCGAATGCACAAGCACAATGTGCAACTCTAATGTGTAATGCATAAAAGTTAAACATTGTGAACTTCAAGGTTATGCATTATGAGATGTTATGCACTGTGCACTAGGGCTTATGAGTCGAATAAATCATCTCATATAGACTACAGTGTTCAACTTTTATGAATTATACATCAAAATTACAGTAATGAAATAAATTGTCCTGCCCAATTATCTTCACTCCACTGCAAGATGGATCGACTCAGATGGTTAAATAAATTGTTTGTGCGCCTGCTAAATCCGCCTCAAGACACAGTCCATTTTAGACGAACCTGTTTGATGAGGAATCATAGCATCAGGAATGTGATGGATAGGACAAACCGAGGGACAAACCCTAATCAACTAAATATTCATACTTCTAATTAAAAAAACTGAGATATCCTGTCAGGAATCATGATCATTAGATCAGAATAATTTTCCCTCGGATTTTCCAGAATATTACACTCAAATGATTTTCTGATAGTGAATAAATCGAAATGACAATGGAATAAGGAAAGTCAAGGCTGGTTTAGCCAGCTCCTAATGCATAACGGATAACTCATAGTGGGTAATGAATAATTTTAAAAATTAAGTTTCATATGTACCCGTTTATACAACTCACAGTGCACAACTCGTAATATAATGCAAAATGCACAATTCAGTTAACCAACTTTTATCTTTTATGCATTATGCACTAATTGCACTATGTCAACTGTTGCAACCAAGTTGCAATAGTTGCAATTTGCAATTAATCTCTTTTTACCTTCATGGTAGGTAGATTGATAATTTATAAAAAATTCAAAAATGGGAAAAACACACACAGACAACTATTAGCAAAAAACAAAAAAAATCAACTTTAACGCCCTGTATCTTTTTCCATAGCAATATTTTATTGAGGCATATTTGGTCCTATCGCCATATTTTGGTACAAACAATCCGCCCTTAGATTATGTCCCAATACTTATGACTCACCCTGTATACATCAACTTGCCTTGATTTTCCCTATACACCATTTGGCTTTATGATTCTCCTCGAGAATAACCCTGTGTATATATTTTTTTGTAGCGAAGGTAATATTATTTGGAAGTACCTAACGTGTCACATCTTAGAAGTTCTATAGCTCATCACTGCTACTGCTTAATGTTCCACCCTCTATATGAACCTTCATCCTATATACTCGTTTTCCATTGACCCGTCATATTTTCCAGTCAAATCTTTGAGCAATCCGTCCGTTATATCATTTTTAGAACAAAGAGCGTTTGCTTTCAGCGTGGTTTGAAGCATCGGAAGTATCAACGATATACGTCATAAGTCATGGATCTATCAAACGTCATATGTCATCTGTCAAATGTCATAGTGGCATCTGATTGGTCAGCTCAGTCACATGATTCTTAACCAAAAGTGGGGTGGTCTATCGTCCGATTCTTTAAGCAATATGTTCTGCTTTTTTATTTTCATAACAGAGCGTTTGGTTTCGGCGAGGTTTGAAGTACCGGAAGTATCATCAACGGCATATGTCATACGTCATTTGTCTAACATAATACTCCACGTAATTTCAGCCATCCCCCGATTCTCCTTGCATGTGTTCTTTAATTTCTGTTTGGCTAAGGTTTTCCCAAACACCTTATATGTTTTTTACAGTGTAGATGTCAGATTGTAGATGTGAGATTGCAATTCTGTTCATCGGCTTGCGGTTAGCCCGCTCGTAGACTTCTAGATAGAAGACCTTGAAATGGACAGAGATAACCAGAATGAACCTTAGAATTCATGAAAAAAAGTACCTAGATATGGGTACAATTCTATTTTCCTTCACATAAGCTTTTTCGGGGCTTTCTGCCATGCAACGTGTAATTTCCGTAGAATTTGAGGAGAAAAATGACATGAAATTTCGAAAAATGCGGCCGAACTCTTGCAGTACCTTAACTAGAACGGTCAATTATTTTTCTTCAAGTCATGTATATTGTCACAACAAAATAGTTGCTGTTCCCACCATGAATTAATATTAATTAATAACCATGTCACAATAAAAGAGTTGGTTTCCCTCATGTAACGATATATTAGGGTTGTTAGTTCATCATGTCGATTTATAAGGGGAAATGCTTGGCTTTATATTTTGCGAGAGGTAATATTCAAATAGGCACTAATAGTTTAGGGGTAACTGAAAGTACGAGACTACATTCAAACATAACAATATTCATAACAGCATGAAACATTATGGGTAGCGATAACAATTATGAATAAACAACAATGAATATAAAGACCTAATAACAACTTACATTATAGATACCATAAAGACGAGCTCTTGTCAAGTCAAGAGTAGCCCCAGACCAGACTAACTTCGGAACCCTCACATCCAATATTTATATACAACATTTTATTAGATATGCACGTTCCTCATGAGAGTTCCTTGGTCAGTTTTTATAATTCAATGTCAACGGATGATTTGATTTACTTTATGTTTATAAAACCCTCATGGTTCGAAATTACTGATATACCGTATGTTCTACTCGTGACATGACCCCTCTCTCCGAGAAAACTGGACCCCAGTTTTTAAATTACTACCTAACTTAAATATATCGAGGAGAACATTTAAAATTCATTTACATATACAAAAAATTTCAGAAAAAAAAATATCCACAAACATTCGAAATTTAGTGTCTACAATGCACACTCACACCTTTACTTAGTCCGGCACTGGCTATTCAACTAAAGCATTTCAATCAGACTCTTCTCGGTGGGACTTCTGGCAGCTTGGGGGTAGGGAATGACGATTGGGCATGGCATCCTCCAATCGTCATGGGGATTTCGGCAGGATCCTTTTGGGCTCGAAGGTATCCTTGTCCTGGGCATTGGGATGAAATCTTTCGGGATTTAAGATTTCCTAGATTGTGTTTCGAGGTAGTTGGCAGCTGAACGAAGGGAACTGCTGGCTTCTTGGGGTAGCGACTGACGACTGATGGGCATCCTTCAATCGTCGTGGGAATTTTGGCGGGATCCTTTTTGGGCTCGAAAGGTATCCTCGTCCTGGACATGATGACGGCACAACATCTTGGTCTATTCGTCTCAAAGTCGTCTCAATGAAGCTAGTTGACTGTGGCGCCATGGGAGGCAACGACGAATTTCTGTCATATGAGAGATTGGTCAGGCATCTCATGGAACGAATTTCGTGGTGTTCCAACGTCAAACTTCTAGCAGCTATCCACAACTTGTAGCATTCCCACTTGTCTCCTCTTCGTTCCTGGGCTACCCAGCAACTACCATCGAATCACGCTGTACAGTCAAACGGTCCTTGGTTTGTCCATGTTTGGCCATTTGGCTGCGTGGCTGCATCCCCCTGGGTGTCTGATATGTTGATGCGTGCTGTTTTCCAGTGCTCATTGTGGGTGCATTGTTTTGTGTGGTTTCGTTGAAACATGTGAAAAAGAAAATATTTCCAGTAGATAACTATTCGCAATGGGCTGAGTAGTCCTTACATAGGCTTATACATTATCGTACGAATAACTTGAGGTGTTTCGCACAGTAAGTGAAAATTGTTCTATATAACTCAATAAATGTTTAACATATGCTGGGATCCGCTGTCTACCTCTTTTAAACATCATGGATTTCCTTATTCATTCGTTTAAGTATACCATCAATTCCTGATGATTCCAAATTTACAGACTATATTTCTAGAGTTAATTATTACTTATTAATTATGAATGTTATTGGGAAAAATCATATACTATTCAATTTCTTAAAATTATTATTATTCCATTTAATTGTAAAAACATATCAACGTGCTTTCTCGAGTTTCTCATGGCATGAATAAAAAACAATATTTTACTAACTATCACAAAGTAACGTGAACGAAGTGTCAAGTTCATGATTATATCATCATCATAATAAAGAGTTTGTTTTCACTAATAAGCAATATTAAAATGTATAAGTATTGCAAAAAAGTTATCATTAATCTTAGGGAAATTTCAACGTCGTCTTCCATTTCGACAAAAAAAATATTGCAATTTTTTTTTTTCCAATATGCTTTATTTTCAATTCATAATAACAAATTTCAACAATACAAAAATGTTTTTGTTTTCTTTTTTCTTACCCTAGCTAAATTCAATAAATATAGGATATATAGGATATTCATCTGACAACTCATTGTTGGCAGCTTGAATAAACTGATGAACCGTCCGAGAATTGGTACTTTCATGTACTTTGAGCAATATTTTGACACAAGGGCCCTTGTGATTATTTTTTGTTCAATATAAAATATTATCAGAACTTTATTCGATTTATTTATTTATCTTTGGTGTAACCGGTTTCAAAAATACATTGGCGTTTATTCAATTTGAAAAATCTGCATTTCCTTATTTCAGTTATTTCGATAAATTCAGACTATTACCTACCTAATGATAATAACATTGAGAACTATTTTGTGATATTTTTCCACTCAAACATTATTGAATTGATTGAAAATACTCCTTTCAAATACCGCATGCTCATTCCTCCAATTTTGTTAGAAC